ATCATGCCATTGCACTCCAGCCTGGGCTTCAGAGTGAGACTCTGTCTCAAAAAAAAAAAAAGAAAGAAAGAACCTCCATATCCTTCATATCCTTTAGCTGTACCCCTTATCTCCACATCTCACCAGGACCCAGGTAACCACTAATCTTCCAACCATTAACCTTTTGTATTTCGATTACATTGCATAAGTACTTGGCAAGGTGCTAGATATATTTATTAAGAGATTAATATGTATAAACAATTGCATCATCTAACTTAATCTCTATTATAACTGTGAGGTCTGAGTGTTTATTGTTATCTTTTTTTTTTTTTTTTTTTTTTTTTTTTTGAGACGGAGTCTCGCCCTGTTGCCCAAGGCTGGATTGCAGTGGCCGGACCTCAGCTCACTGCAAGCTCCGCCTCCCAGGTTTATGCCATTCTCCTGCCTCAGCCTCCCGAGTAGCTGGGACTACAGGCGCCCGCCACGTCGCCCGGCTAGTTTTTTGTATTTTTTTAGTAGAGACGGGGTTTCACCGTGTTAGCCAGGATGGTCTCGATCTCCCGACCTCGTGATCCGCCCGTCTCGGCCTCCCAAAGTGCTGGGATTACAGGCTTGAGCCACCGCGCCCGGCCCTATTGTTATCTTAAAGCTGAGGATATTGAAACTTAAGATAGATTAAATAACTTGTAACATAACCAGTAAATGATGAAACTAGCGTTGTATCCTTGTACTATCATTTCAAAACTCATGCTCTTAACCTTTGTACCATAATATCTATTGTAGTAAACTGAATTTTCCAAGCTATGCAATATCTGTGAGAAACTTTACTAAGATATTTAAAATGTAATGGAAAGGCTTAACTTGTTTGGGCATGCTGTCTCCTTCACAAAATTTGCTGCATGTTCTTTTCTTTTAATAACCTCTTTATGTATCTCTCCACATTTTTCCTCAAGCTCCTATAAATGTACAGATACATTATAGGGGCTTCTTGAGGGGTCATTATATAAAAATAGGATTATACTCTAAATATCACACTAAAACTTGCTTTTCTCACTATGGACATCTTCTGTTTCTAGAAATAGATCTAGCTGTGTTTTGAATAGCTGTGTACTGTGCATATCATAATGTAACAGTTGTCTTATTGGTGGAAGTTGGGTTTTTTTGCTATTACGTACAATATTGCAGTTAATATCCTTATACATTTATCTTTGTGCTTTTACATACTATATCGGTAGATATGAATCAGAGGATTCTATGTATTACAACTTTTGATAGATGCTGCTCATTATTTATTAAAAAGGTTATACCACTTGAGCAGCAGCATGCACAGTTAAGACCCAGATCCTGATCTGGGTACATTTCCTCTCCACCAGGAGCTTAATGGAATGGCTGGATCCAGATGTATAGCAGATAAAGGACAAGGTCAGCCTAGGATACCTTGTGTCAAAAAAAAAAAAAAAACAAGAAGTCCTCAAAGACAAATGGAGTCTTGTTGTTTGTTTTTTTGTTTTTTTGTGTTTTTGTTTTCAGATGGAGTCTCGCTGTGTCGCCCAGACTGGAGTGCTGTGGCATGATCTCCGCTCACTGCAACCTCCACCTCCCAGGTTCAAGCGATTTTCCTGCCCCAGCCTCCTGAGTAGCTAGGATTACAGGCACCCACTACCACACCCAGCTAATTTTTGTATTTTTAGTACAGACAGCGTTTCACCATGTTGATCAGGATGGTCTCAAACTCCTGACCTCAGGTGATCCACCCGCCTCAGCCTCCTGAAATTATGGGATGACAAGCATGAGCCACGGCGCCCAGCCTAATTTTTGTATTTTTAGTAGAGACAGGGTTTTGCCATATCAGCCAGGCTGGTCTTGCACTCCTGACCTCAGGTGATCCACCCGCCTCAGCCTCCCAAAGTGCTAGGATTACAGGCCTGAGTCTTGTATAAAGGATACAAAGAGCCAGCTAGAAGAGGCTCTGAATGACCAAATTTGGAACAATTTGAATATCAAACAAACCATTGTAATTATACCACACTGAAAATTTTTAAAAATTAGTGCATCTCTACTGATACTAAAAGATGGTAGGGGAGAAAGTAAAGCTCTTTTAAAAAGAAGGATATGGCTGGGTGTAGTGGCTCACGCCTGTTATCCCAGCACTTTGGGAGGCTGAGGTGGTTGCATCACCTGAGGTCAGGAGTTTGAGACCAGCCTGGCCAGCATGGCGAAACCCCGTGTCTACTAAGAATACAAAAAATTAGCTGGGTGTGGTGGCAGGCACCTGTTATCCCAGCTACTCTGGAGGCTGAAGCAGGAGAATCGCTTGAACCTGGGAGGTGGAGGTTGCAGTGAGCTGAGATAATGCCATTGCACTCCAGCCTGGGCAACAAGAGTGAAACTCCGTCTCAAAAAAAAAAAAAAAAAAAAAAAAAGATACTAGCCATTAAGGGTAGAAGGAATGACAATATTTTAAAAATTCACCATTTTGTAATCCCCAGTATGATATGGGAAATTAAATTTAGGCAAGGATCATCATGGAGGCAAATATCCTGGTGAGAAGCTGTTGGGCTGTTCACATGGTGCCATAGATTACTTACTCATCAAACATAAAGGGAAAAACATGTCTTTACACTAGAGAAATCCTACAGTTACCACCTTAACCAGATCGTCAAAGTCAGCATCACTAGCGCAGGAAATCATGATGTTAATGTATTATTTTGTTGGATGCAGTAAGAAGTACTGAATTCACTTATGAAGCATTCTTTCCAAAAATGTTTAAGCAACCTTCATGTTTATCTGCAGGATTACCTTCTTTAGTTAGAATTGTAAATTATTCCCGGTCTCTACTAAAAAAATACAAAAAATTAGCCGAGTGTGGTGGCAGGCGCCTGTAGTCCCAGCTACTCGGGAGGCCGACGCAGGAGAATGACGTCAACCTGGGAGGCGGAGCTTGCAGTGAGCCGAGATCGCGCCACTGCACTCCAGCCTGGGTGACAGAGCGAGACTTGGTCTCAAAAAAAAAAAAAAAAATGTAAATTATTTTACTATATGACCTTAGGTAGGTTATGTTAGTGACTTGTCTGAGTCTCAGAGCCCTTCTTTGTAAAACAGTGACACTGAATCAGAAAAAACGTATGAAAGTAACCTAGCATGTAGTTTGTTGTAAGAATGTAACACTAGTTCAGCTCTGCTGTCAGAATCCATTCATAGCCATCAAGTATATAGCTGAATGAAAACTACATTTCTCTTTTTCACATCTTATTTCCTTACCTAATTCGATGTAATTTGATGGCATGCTTTATGAATTCTCTATACTTGCTTAGATCCATAAGCTATGAAGCCCCAAGTATGCCATAAACCCTCTAATCCAAAACGTTCAAGGGACATTTTAGGTAACAGAGCATGGGATTAGAATATTTCTATACTCATTAGAAATTTACGTTGACTTATATGAAACTACCAGTTTTGTAGATTAAAAATGGTGAAATATCAGCAATGTCATGTGATTCAATCTAATAATGTGCTTTAGTGGCGGAAGCTTAGTACATCATCAGCATTTGCCAAGCATTCCTTCTTTTTCCTTCCTTATGGCTTTAGAAAAAGATTTGCTCAGAGGAGGAGAGAAGGATTTGTATTGAGCCAAGTTTTAAGGAAATTGTGATGTGAACTCTAAATCTATTGTGATGTATATTCTAAATATTTTTGGGTATTTCTTCATTTTATATTCTCCTCTCCTCCCATGTACTATAGTTACTCTTTCCAATCACGTCTTACCTCTTGGCTTTTCTTTCCAGGTAGTGGGAAATGAGACAAAGCTTTTCTTTTTCTGTACTTTAAATTCTGGATTGGTCTTTTTGAATAGGCAGTTGCAGAATTTTGAAAACATGAGCAAGAATAATTTACTTCAAGTCCCAGCTGGTTCTCTTCCAAAGATAGCACTTAGAAATGATAATGTACTTTTTTCCTTTGTACCCTGGTTCCTAGTAGAATGGGGAAGGTAAGACAGATGGATGGATTTTGAGTACATGTCATTTTATAGAATATAAACAATGGCCGGGTGCGGTGGTTCATGCCTATAATCCCAGCACTTTGGGAGGTCAGGAGTTCGAGACCAGCCTGACCAACATGGTGAAACCCTGTCTCTACCAAAAATATAAAAATTAGTTGGGCATGGTGACACGCCCCTATAGTACCAGCTACTTGGGAGGCTGAGGCAGGAGAATCGCTTGAACGTGGGAGGTGGAGGTTGCAGTGAGCCAAAATTGTGCTACTGCACTCCAGTCTGGGTGACAGAGCAAGACTCTGTCTCAAAAAAAAAAAAAAAAAAAACATATATACATATATATATATATATAAACAATGAAGTAATAATTCATAGGAGATTGGAAAGTTTCCAGCTGTGAAGGGAGTATTGAAATTACATCATAGCAAGAATTCTTCCTGGAGTACGGCCCTTATAACAACAGTCGTAATTGTTAGGCCGGGCGCGGTGGCTCAAGCCTGTAATCCCAGTACTTTGGGAGGCCGAGGCGGGTGGATCACGAAGTCAGGAGATCGAGACCATCCTGGCTAACATGGTGAAACCCCGTCTCTACTAAAAATACAAAAAACTAGCCGGGCGTGGTGGCGGGCGCCTGTAGTCCCAGCTACTCGGAGGCTGAGGCAGGAGAATGGCGTAAACCCGGGAGGCGGAGCTTGCAGTGAGCCGAGATTGGGCCACTGCACTCCAGCCTGGGTGACACAGCGAGACTCCGTCTCAAAAAAAAAAAAAAAAAAAAAAAGAGTCGTAATTGTTACTCCTTTCAGAAAGTGGCGTATCTTCCTTAAAGAAACTGTGCTGGGCAATTGTGTATGGTTTTAATATTCCTAACCCTCCTTTTTATTTCCTCAAACAAGAAGAAACAAATTCATGGAATACCGTCCCTCTCAAGGAAATGTGATCAACCCTGCATATAAATAGCTTTATTAAAATCCTTAGTTTTTGGCAAGCCATATCATTGTCAGTTTGAAAGTTACTGTTTGTCTTCTAGACAGCTGCTCAGGAAGCAATCTTGCATGCGTCTGGAAATGGCACAACCAAGGACTACTGCATGCTTTATAACCCTTATTGGACAACTCTTCCAAGTACCCTAGAAAATGCAGTAAGTAAATCACAGTTACTATTCATAAACATAAAAATAGTGAAGAAGGAGGCTGGGTGCGGTGGCTCATGCCTGTAATCCCAGCAATTTAGGAGGCCGAGGTGGGCGGATCGCGAGATCAGGAGATTGAGACCATCCTGGCTAACACGGTGAAATCCCGTCTCTACTAAAAATACAAAAATTAGCTGGGTGTGGTTGGGGGTGCCTGTAGTCCCAGCTACTCAGGAGGCTGAGGCAGGAGAATGGTGTGAACCCAGAAGGCGGAGCTTGCAGTGAGCTGAGATTGTGCCACTGCACTCCAGCCTGGGCGACAGAGCAATACTTTGTCTCTTTAAAAAAAAAAAAAAAAAAGTGAAGATGGCTGGGTACAATGGCTAATACCTGTAATCTTAGCACTTTGGGATGTCAAGATGGGAGGATTGTTTGAGACCAAGTGGTCAAGACTAATCTGGTCAGCATAGTGACACCCTGTCTCTATTTAAAAAGAAAAAAGAAAAAATATTGAAGAAGTGAAAATGAGTGATAATTATGTTTTATTGTGTGAAACCATTGTAATGTATAGTTGTTAATAAATAATAATTTTATTGATTTTTCTCAAGTATTTTTCTCTCTAGGAAAATAGGGAATTTTAAAATACTTAATTCTAAGCCTAAATATTTCTAATTCAAACGATATTGTCTTAAACCAATATTGAGAACTGAATGCAGTATTTATAACTGAATGCATTTAGGATGAAATATGATTTTTATCATGTTAAGAAGACATTTCTTATTTTCAGACTTCCGTTAGTTTGATGGATCTGACTTCCACACCACTATGCAACCTTTCTGATGTTCCTTCTGTTGGCATAAAGAGCAAAGCAGTTGTGGTTCCATGGGGAAGCTGCCAGTTTTTTGAAAAAGCCAGAATTGCACAGAAAGGAGGTGCTGAAGCAATGTTAGTTGTCAATAACAGTGTCCTAGTAAGTTATAAAAACGATCATAACTTATTTTGAGTTCATGATGTGAAATTTCACAAAAATGGAATTAACGTCTTTGTGTGTGGTTTAGAGGCTGAGTTTTGAATAATCTGATGGCAAGATTCTTTGTAAATAAACAATCAAGATCTCATAGGCATTTACTTGGAAAGTTTTTCAGTTTTTCTATTCCTAGAGCAGATAAGACTTTGTTAGAAACAAATATATATATATATTCATATATATATTCATATATAGGTATATATATTCAGATATAGGTATATATATTCAGATATAGGTATATATGTATTACACATACATAATATATATCATAAATGCTCTATATATTGTAGCATTTATCAGTTTAAGTTCATGTTAAAAGGATTCAATTTTGAGAACTTACAGAATATTAAGAAAGAATACCTGACATTTTTGTCTTATAAAGAAAGCTGTAATATTGATATTTAGTGGAATAGTATTTTATTCTATAATATATTAGTAGTAAATAAGTTTTCATAATTTTTTTTTCTTTTAGTTTCCTCCCTCAGGTAACAGATCTGAATTTCCTGATGTGAAAATACTGATTGCATTTATAAGCCACAAAGACTTTAAAGATGCAAACCAGGTAAATTAGCAATTACATATTAGATAAAGTTTATAAATACTATATCTCTTTATTTTTAATCACTGATGTTTAATTTTGAGTGCTATATTTGCTCCATTTGCCAACAAGAAGCTATAAGGCCTATCAAGTTTTTCTTTGGAAAATACTCATCTCTCATTTGGCACAAAGTGTCTCAAAGCCTAAACTTTAGAAAGGATGTTTGTTTTCAGTTCTTTACAAGTCTCTTGTCATGTCATTTATCTTAACTTTAAATTCCTGAACAAAATATGACTGTGTAGAACACTGCACTTTAGAGATTTTATAAACCAAAGCATATCATCATACTTTTGACTAGAGAATATATCATGTCATCAGACAATAATTCTAGCCTTCTTGACTGTCTGATGTATAATGTCCGTTGCAGAGTGAAATGTAGACTATTGCTGTTATGACTATAGTAGAGAAAAAAGTTATTCCTGTGTTTAACTGTTATTTTGCCTTTCAGATTCTGGGAAATAACATTACTGTGAAAATGTATTCTCCATCGTGGCCTGACTTTGATTATACTATGGTGGTTATTTTTGTAATTGCTGTGTTCACTGTGGCATTAGGTGGATACTGGAGTGGACTAGTTGAATTGTAAGTTTAATTAACTTAAGCATTTTTGTAATCAAGGGTTAAAAATTTCTGCAACCAGGCCGGGCGCGGTGGCTCAAGCCTGTAATCCCAGCACTTTGGGAGGCCGAGACGGGCGGATCACGAGGTCAGGAGATCGAGACCATCCTGGCTAACACGGTGAAACCCCGTCTCTACTAAAAAATACAAAAAACTAGCCGAGCGAGGTGGCAGGCGCCTGTAGTCCCAGCTACTCGGGAGGCTGAGGCAGGAGAATGGTCTAAACCCGGGAGGCGGAGCTTGCAGTGAGCTGAGATCCGGCCACTGCACCCCAGCCTGGGCGACAGAGCAAGACTCTGTCTCAAAAAAAAAAAAAAAAAAAAAAAAAAAAAAAAAAAAAAATTTCTGCAACCATTTTAATTATATAACAACATAAAAATTGTATCTGCCCTCAGAATGTGATGCTAGTAAGCCCAGTCTGCAGGTGTGTCCTCATGTAGATCATTCATGTTTTCACCAGAGAGAAAAGAGTCACAGATTTCTCTAACTCTTCCACTGTCAGAGGAACACTGACATCACATCAGAGACTCTTTTAAGTTAAAATGTTTAATTCTGTCTCCCAGGAAGGGTCATGGGAGATATCCTAATATGCCTATTGATTTAGATTGGAAGAAAATAAGCAAGAGAAAGTAGGGAGTTTCTCAGCTCCTCCTGGGCTGAGTCATTACAGTGTGGCCTCATCATTCTGTTTTATGCTTTAGGAATTCTAAGGATGTTAGTAATGTCCACCTTTTTTCTTCACTTAGTCAAGATTTATTTCAAGGCTTGAAAACATTCAGGCCAACTAAAATGGTACTACTGTCACTTTTTTTTTTTTTTTTTTAGCAAATTCTATTTAATTTCCTTTTTCTTTCTTTCTTGCTTTAATTGTACTTTAAGTTCTAGGGTACATGTGCACAACATGCAGGTTTGTCACATATGTATACATGTGCCATGTTGGTGTGCTGCACCCATTAACTCATCATTTACATTAGGTATATCTGCTAATGCTATCCCTCCCCACTCCCCCCACTGTCACTTTTTATAATACATAAATAGGCCAGGCGCGGTGGCTCACGCCTGTCATCCCAGCACTTTGGGAGGCCGAGGAAGGCAGATCACCTGAGGTCAGGAGTTTGAGACAAGCCTGGCCGACATGGTGAAACCCTGTCTCTACAAAAAATACAAAAATTACCTGGGTGCAGTGGTGCGTGCCTATAATCCAGCTACTTGGGAGGCTGAGGCAGGAGAATCGTTTGAACCCAGGAGGCGGAGGTTGCAATGAGCCGAGATTGCGCCATTGCATTCCAGCCTAGGCGACAAGAGTAAGACTACGTCTCAAAAACGAACAAACAAACAAACAAAAAATAATATAAAACTTTGAAAAATGTAGACACGGTTAAATAACCGCTGTACACCACACTATTCAATTCTCAAAAGCAATGGCTATTTAGCAAACTGTAAGGTAACAGTAAAATATCAGAGAACTTTTATACATTTAGAGAACATAATTAGCAGCAAGCTAGTCAGACAAAACAAACACAAATGTTGTTACATTTTCCTTTTTTTTTTTTTTGATACAAAGTCTTGCTCTGTTGCCAGGCTGGAGTACAGTGGTGCTATCTTGGCTCACTGAAAACTCCACCTCCAGGGTTCAAGTGATTCTCCTGCCTCAGCCTCCCGAGTAGCTGGGACTACAGGCCGCACCACCATGCCCAGCTAATTTTTGTATTTTTAGTAGAGATGGCATTTCACCATGTTGGCCAAGATGGTCTTGATCTCTTGACCTCATGATCTGCCCGCCTTGGCCTCTGAAAGTGCTGGGATTACAAGCATGAACCACCGTGCCCGGCCTCCATATTTGTTTTTAATTTTGCTTTATAAAGCCACTGATAAATTGAGATCTCTCAAGTATAGGATTTCTCACATTAAAAATTGTATATTTATATATATATCTTTTAGAGATGGAGTCTTGTTCTGTTGTTCTGTTACGTAGGCTGGAGTGCAGTGGCATGATCTCAGCTCACTGCAACCTCTGCCTCCCAGATTCAAGTGCTTCCCCTGCCTCACCCTCTTTAGTTGCTGGGATTACAGGTGCCTGCCACCATGCCTGGCTAGTTTATGATGAGTTTTCACCATGTTGGCCAGGCAGGTCTTGAACTCCTGACCTCAGGTGATCTGCCCACCTCAGCCTCCCAAAGTGCTGGGATTACAGGTGTGAGCCACCAGGCTCAGCCTAAAAATTGTATTTTCTAGCCTTGGAAACATAGCAAGACCTCATCTCTTCTAAAAATAAAAAAATTAGCCTGGTGTAGTGGCACACGCCTCTAGCCCCAGCTACTCAGGAGGTGGAGGTGAGAGGATTGCTGGAGCCCAGCAGTTTCAGGTTACAGGGAGCTGTGATTGTGCCACTGCACTCCAAGCTGGGCAACAGAGTGAGAGCCTACTCAAAAAAAAAAAAAAAAAGGCCAGCTGCAGTGACTCATTTTTGGGAGGTCGAGGTGGGCAGTTCACTTGAGCCCAGGAGTTCAAGACCAGCCTGGGCAACATGGTGAAACCCCATCTTGGCCGGGTGCAGTGGCTCACACCTGTAATCCTAGCTCTTTCGGAGGCCGACGCGGGCGGATCACGTGAGGTCAGGAGTTCGAGATCAGCCTGGCCCACATGGTGAAACCCCATCTCTACTAAAAATACAAAAATTAACCAGGTGTGGTGGCGTGCACCTGTAGTCCCAGCTACTCAGGAACCTAAAGCAGGAGAATCACTTGAACCCAGGAGGTGAAGGTTGCAGTGAGCCAAGATTATCCCATTGCACTCCAGCCTGGGTGACAAAGCGAAACTCCATCTCAAAACAAAACAAAACCCGTCTCTACAAAAAAATAAAAAATAAAAATTATACTTTCTAAATATTTTTATTGAAAGAAATGAAAAAGCCGCAAACTGCATTGTTTGCCATAAACTCATACACCAAAAAGTAAAATGCAATCCAACTGAATCTGTTTATACTTCCCTTTTCTCCAACAACAGCTTTAAATGTTTGCTGTATACTTTATAAATTTTATTAAAATCAGTTCTAATTAATTTATGCAGATTAGGGGAAATGATTTATAATTAATTATCCTTAAAATTACCTGCTACAAACTTCTAACCCTACTGCCCCCATAGCCAGCACATCTGCTGCTAAAGTGAACAATGATGCAATGTACTATTTGTGGGGGCCCAAAGCATCTGTAGTCTTGATTTCCTGAATACCCAAAGATTTCAACTTTCTGCCACTTTAAACAAAAAGACTCAAATGGCCAAAATTATACAGTGAGAGGAAAAATCTATAGCATGAAGATCAACTAAAACTTTAAAGCATGTCCATATTTTCATTTAAATACAGAAATTTCAAATATACACAAAATTTGGATTTTCCTATTTAGTAGTAACCTTAACTCGGTCTCCCTACAGTTTTGTACTTTTGGCTCTAAATTAAAATGAGCAATATACATAGAAGAGTCAATATATATTCATAACTCTCAATGAAAAAAATGTGCCCAGAGCATATTATTTCATGTATGAAGGGCAAAATATATTTGCCTTGTGAATTGATCTATAGCTTCCATTTAAAAGGTCTTATCTGGGCCAGGCATGGTGGCTCACGCCTGTAATCCCAGCACTTTGGGAGGCCAAGGCAGGTGGAGCACAAGGTCAGGAGATCGAGACCACGGTGAAACCCCATCTCTACTAAAAATAAAAAAAAATTAGCTGGGCGCTGTGGCGGGTGCCTGTAGTCCCAGCTACTCAGGAGGCTGAGGCAGGAGAATGGCATGAACCCTTGCAGTGAGCCGGGATTGCGCCACTGCACTCCAGCCTGGGCGAGACTCCATCTCAAAAAAAAAAAAAAAAAGATCTTATCTGTAACTAAATGAAGCTAAAGTTATTTGTAATTTCTTAAATACTAAAATTTGATTGACTTGCATCAAGAGGGAAATGTTAGAGTTTAACAAGTGTAGGTTCCTGGAGCATTGAGCTTTAAACATTTTACGTATTTGGAAAGCATGTTTCAAGATATATCAGTCACATCTTTCATATGAGTAAGCTTGTTTTTTTCCTTCTTTATTAATCTTTAATCTTTTCTTTTTGAGATGGAGCCTCACTCTGTCACCCAGGCTACAGTGCAATGGTGCGATCTTGACTCATTGCAACCTCCACCTCCCAGGTTCAAGCAATTCTCCTGCCTTAGCCTCCCAAGTAGCTGGGATTGTAGGTGTGAACCCCCACATCCCGCTAATTTTTTGTATTTTTTTTAGTAGAGATGGGGTTTTGCCATGTTGGCCAGGTTGGTCTCGAACTCCTGACCTCAGGTGATCCACCTGCCTCGGCCTCCCAAAGTGCTGGGATTATAGGTGTGAGCCCCTGCGCCTGGCAATTATTAATCTTTATAAAGCATAGTATGTAAGATCTCCATATCTCTAAAATCATTTTGTGTATTACTTAGGGAAACTTTAGAAATAATTTTCCAAAAGCTGCTGATTTATTAAAAATGTTTTCCTATTTATTATAGATTCTTCCTGTACTTCCATTACTATGTAAATTTTTTTGTTTTCTAGAATAGTGCTTCTCAAACTGTAAAGTGCATACACTTATCTAGAGATCTTATTAAAATATAAATTCAGGCCAGGCGTGGTGGCTTACACTTGTAATCCCAGCGCTTTGGGAGGCCAAGGCAGATAGATCTCTTGTGCCCAGGAGTTTGAGACCAATCTGGGCAGCATAGTGAGACCCATCTCTACAAAAAAAATTTAAAAATTAGTTGGGTGTGGTGACATGAACCTATAGTCCTAGCTACTCAGGAGGCTGATGTAGGAGGACCATTTGAGCCCAGGAGTTTCAGGCTGCAGTGAGCTGTTAATGCCACTGCACTCAAGCCTGGGCAGCAGAGCAAAATCCTCTCTCAAAAAGATAACAATAAGAATAATAAAATACAAATTCAGATTTAGTAGGTTGGGGATAGGGACCCAGATTCTGTATTCTTTTTTTTTTTTTTTTTTTTTGAGACGGTGTCTCGCTCTGTCACCCAGGCTGGAGTGCAGTGGCGCAACCCCGGCTCACTGCAACCTCCACCTCCCAGGTTCAAGCAATTCTCCTGCTTCACCTTCCCCAGTAGCTGGGATTACAGGTGCACGCCTGCACGCCTCACTAATTTTTTGTATTTTAGTAGAAACGGGGTTTCACCGTGTTGCCCAGGCTGGTTTCAAACTCCTGAGCTCAGGCAATCCGCCTGCCTCAGTCTCCCAAAGTGCTGGGATTACAGGTGTATGCCACCATGCCCAGCCCGATTCTGCATTTTTAACAAGCTCCCAAGTGATTTAGCTGGCCCATGGACCCACACTTTGAGTTTAGCAAGGCAAGCTTTTTTATATACACGTTAGGACAAGCTCCTCCTTGAGAAAATTGGAAATTGGAGGAGAATACATACCAGCTTTTTTATTTGTAAAACATGATGATGGAGCAGAAACAAGTAATTTGTTGCCTTCAGAAACCAGACTGGGAGAGGAAATGTCCCATACCTGCAGGATCATGGATTTTAAAATTGAGGGGGCTGATTCTAAGAGCAAAATAAAGATACAGAGAAATAAGTGTATGTGGGAGGAGAAAGGGGTGGTGACCATATGGAGAAAGAGAATATGAATCAGTGATACAAAGGAAAAAGTTCCATACAAAGAATTATTAAAAACACAAGGCCCATCATTTAGCAAGTAATGATAGTTGGATGGAAAGAGAGTAAGGCTTAGGGAAGGGAAAATGTGCCAGGACAGGACCTCACAACCCAAAATTACTCTGCCAAATGAGAGATGTACCTTAAGCAAAAGGAAAAGATGCCTGGGTTCTATAGAAAGACTTTTCAGCAGTGTTAAAATCTTTTTTTTTTTTTTTTTTTTTTTGGAGATAGAGTTTTGCTCTTGTCGCCTAGGTTGGAGTGCAATGGCGTGATCTTGGCTCACTGCAACCTCTGCCTTCTGGGTTCAAGCAATTCTCCTGCCTCAGCCTCCCAAGTAGCTGGGATTACAGGCATGCACCACCATGCCCAGCTAATTTTTGTATTATTAATAGAGATGTGGTTTCACTATGTTAGCCAGGCCAGTCTTGAACATCTGAAATCAGGTGATCTGCCTGCCTCGGCCTCCCAAAGTGCTGGGATTACAGGCGTGAGCCACCATGCCCAGCCTAAAATCTTTTTATAATAAGGTCACTGGTCCTCAGCCTTTATAACCTCTAGATGACATGCAAGAAAGCTTAGGTTCCTGTTGCATATGGCTCTCAAGCTGATATGAAAATTCAATTTTTTTTCCAAAAAAGATGAATTGTAATTTTTTTTTTTTTTTTTTTTTTTTTTTGAGTTGGAGTCTCACTGGCACCCAGGCTGGAGTGTGGTGGTACGCGATTTTTGCTCACTGCAACCTCTGCCTCCCAGGTTCAAGCGATTCTCCTGCCTCAGCTTCTCAAGTAGCTAGGATTACAGGCACGTGCCACCACACCTGGCTAATTTTTGTATTTTTAGTGGAGATGGATTTTCATCATGTTGGCCACGCTGGTCTCAACTCCTGACCTCAAGTGATCTGCCCACCTTAGCCTCCTGAAGTGCTGGGATTACAAGTGTGAGCCACCACAATTGGCAGAATTGTAATATTTTAATGTGATATAAATCTAGTACACTGTATGCTTTCGTTAAATAAATTGCCTGTGCTTTTTAGTTCAATGACTATGAATATATAAATCTTTATTATGGCTTGTATGTGTACTATGACAAAAATTTCTTTAAATGTATTTCTGCAGTGACAGATATCATAATTAGCACCTTTTTACACTCAGGTACCACATTTATAGAAATTTATTTAATACCCTGTCATTCAGCTCTAGAGTTTCAGGGGAGGTGCTAGTGTGTCTCCATCAACTCTCTCCCTGCTCTTTTCCCAGGCAATCTACTTAGAGTCACAGATGCTTAATACAGTAGCCATCTCAGTCAACAGTTTTCCAGTAAGAAAGTGGCTTGTTGGTACACAGTTGGGAAATATGCAGTTCGAAAGGAATACACTCTTTTAGGCCAGGCTTGGTGGCTCATGCCTGTAATCCCAGCCCTTTGGGAGGCCAAGGCAGTTGAATCACTTGAGCTCAGCATTCGTGACCAGCATGGGTAACACAGCAAAACCCTGCCTCTTTTTTTTGTTTGTTTTTAAATTTAATTTTTAAAACTATATTAAAAGAAATAAACTTTTTTAACCTAAATTTTGTGTTGAGCCCAGACATAATGAGCAGGGCCAGGATTTGCACAGGAAGGAGCAGAGTTTAGAACAAAGTTGTTGAAAAGTATTCAAAAGTAGTATTAATAATATGTCGTAGATTGCATATAACTAGGAGGAGACAGTAAGGTTGACAAGAGATTGCCCAGCAAACAACAGTTGCAGGTCTTTTCCTCTTCGACTTCTGTCTCTGTTATTAGCTCTGTGGCCTAGCAAGAGTTGAGACAATATTTTGTTATCTTAAATAAAGGTAGGACAAAGTTATGCCTTGAATTTCTTTTGAGTCCTTTATAATACATTGATGAGCATAGACTAGGCATATAGTAAATGCTAAGTTGATTGAGAGGAGAATTTAGCATTTGCATTTAAGAGAAGTGGCCAGGTGCAGTGGCTCACGCCTGTAATCCCAGCACTTTGGGAGGCCAAGGTGGATGGGTTGCCTGAGCTCAGGAGTTCAAGACCAGCCAGGACAACACGGTTAAACCCCGTCTCTACTAAAATACAAAAAATTAGCCTGGCCTACCAGCATGTGCCTGTAGTCCCCGCTACTCGGGAGGCTGAGGCAGGAGATTTGCTTGAACCCGGGAGGCAGAGGTTTCAGTGAGCAGAGATCGCGCCAACTGCACTCCAACCTTGGCAATAGAGCAAGACTCTGTCTCAAAAAAAAAGAGAAGCTAATTTTTAGAAGTACTTTACTGTCTGTAAGTTGATAATAGTAAGTTTGTAAGAAGCTTTGGTTTTAGTTTGAAATTTATTGTGTCAATATAATTTTCAAATTAGGTAATATAAACATCCACAAGTATTAATTTGTTTATATAATAAATGTCATCTCTTTCAGCAATTTTGCCTGCAGAAAAAAATGTTTCAAAAGTTAGTGGTTGAGAACAGATCATCTCTGGAGGGTAGCATTTAAGAGGTTTTTACTTTCTAGATTACGTATTTCTTTTTAGGGTACAGTTTTTAAAAAGTACCTTACTTGCTATAACAAGATATCTTAGAAAAATAATAAAATAAAAATATTTTAATAAATAAAAATACATTGCTTTCTTCAGAAACACATTTAAATTGGTGTTAGAGAGAGATTTTTTAAATAACTGTGCTTGGCTAAGATTTGCTAAAGTTCCTTTGTGTTTGTACAGGGAAAACTTGAAAGCAGTGACAACTGAAGATAGAGAAATGAGAAAAAAGAAGGAAGACTATCTAACTTTCAGTCCTCTTACAGTTGTCATATTTGTGGTCATCTGCTGTGTTATGATGGTCTTACTTTATTTCTTCTACAAATGGTTGGGTAAGAAGTCATATTTTATGTTTGTTACTGTTAACATGCATTCTTTTCACTGACTATTACTAGATTTATCTTTTCCTTTAAGCCATTCTACCTGGAAAACTTATGTGAATAATTTGGTTAATAATAATTTTTTAAATTGTCTCACTGACTAATACTAGATTTATCTTTTCCTTTAAGCCATTCTACCTGGAAAACTTATATGAATAATTTGGTTAATATTATTATTTTTTTAATTATCAGTGTTAGGTCTCTGTTACTCTGAGATATAAATATTCAGATTAAAAATACACTATGTGCCAGGAGCAGTGGCTCATGCCTGTAATCCCAACACTTTGGGAGGCCAAGGTGGGTGAATCACCTGAGGTTGGGAGTTTTAGACCAGCCTGACCAACATGGAGAAACCTTGTCGCTTCTAAAAATACAGAAATTAGCCGGGCGTAGTGTTGCATGCCTATAATCCCAGCTACTCGTGAGGCTGAGGCAGGAGACTCGCTTGAACCTGGGAGGCGGAGGTTGCGGTGAGCCGACATTGCGCCATTGCACTCCAGCCTGGGCAACAAGAGCGAAACTCCATTTCAAAAAAAAAAAACTGGCCGGGCGCGGTGGCTCAAGCCTGTAATCCCAGCACTTTGGGAGGCCGAGATGGGCGGATCGCAAGGTCAGGAGATCGAGACCATCCTGGCTAACCTGGTGAAACCCCGTCTCTACTAAAAAAAAATACAAAATACTAGCCGGGCGAGGTGGCGGGCGCCTGTAGTCCCAGCTACTTGGGAGGCTGAGGCAGGAGAATGGCGTGAACCCGGGAGGCGGACCTTGCAGTGAGCTGAGATCCGGCCACTGCACTCCAGCCTGGGCGACAGAGCAAGACTCCGTCTCAAAAAAAAAAAAAAAAAAAAAGTACGTTATGTTTTCAGATAAGAACACTTCTTCATGGATGAGTTGAAATAATTGCCATGGTCCCTAAGTTTTCCTCTCTGTAGATGAAGAATGATATAGCTCAGTATCTAAGCAGTGGATTAAGGAGTTCTTGGTGGCTATATTTAGTTACATGAAATAGAAGATTATTCAAATTACTGATGTATTGCCTCTACTTACTCCCAAAGTGTAGTTTATCTTTTGTCAATTTGCAAATGAAAATGTTTCATTGCTTGAATTTTATGTTACTTATATAAACAGGATCATATTATATCTGAAGACACACAGGTACTTCCTGTGGTCTAGAGAGTGACTAGTCCTTTTTTTCCTTGAAGACAGTGGGAATAGGAACTATAATGGCTTGGCCATCTCCTGAACAGTCTTATTAATGGCTTAACAGAATGAAAATTTGCCATCCCTGGACAGTATACAGCACAAAGAGAAGGGAGACTAGGGAAAAAGGAGTGTACCTGATAAGAACTAGCAAAAAGCCCTTGTGAGAACCACCAAAGGCTACTATGCTTATGTGTATAGCATTAGCATAAATTTCTGGACTAGAACCACCAAAGGCTACTATGCTTATGTGTATAGCATTAGCGTAAATTTCTGGACTAGAAAACTAGGGCCTAGGATTGTTTCATTCAGCACTTTTTTTTTTTTTTTTTTTTGAAACAGAGTCTCGCTCTGTTACCCAGGCTGGAGTGCAGTGGCGCAATCTCGGCTTACTGCAACCTCCGCCTCCCAGGTTCAAGCGATTCTCCTGCCTCAGTCTCCCGAGTAGCTGGGATTACAGGTGTGTGCCACCATGCCCGGCCAATTTTTGTATTTTTAATAGAGATGGGGTTTCACTGTATTGACCAGGCTGGTCTCGAACTCCTGACCTCAAGTGATCCACCCACCTCGGCCTCCCAAAGTGCTAGGATTACAGGTGTGAGTTACCACGCCTGACCTCATTCCATTTTTGTTCAGTTTCTCTTGTCCTGTGACAGCAGTTTAAAAACTAGGCCTATGATTTTTTTTTTTCTTTTTTTTTTTTTTTTTTGAGACAGAGTCTTGCTCTGCTGTGCTCTGTCACCCATACTGGACTACAGTGGCACAATCTGGGGTCACTGCAATCTCTGCCTCCCACATTCAAGCGATTCTCCTGCCTCAGCCTCCCAAGTTGTAGGACTATAGACGCGTCCTACCACGCCCAGCTAATATTTGTATTTTTATTTATTTATTTATTTGAGATGGGGTGATTCTCTTGCCTCAGCTTCCCAAGTAGCTGGGATTACAGGCGTCTGGCACTACCCCAGGTAATTTTTGTATTTTTAGTAGAAACAGAGTTTCACCATGTTGGCCAGGCTGATCTCAAAGTCCTGACCTCAGGAGATCCACCTGCCTTGGCCTCCTATAGTGCTGGGATTACAGGTGTGAGCCACTGTACCCAGCTTATGACATGTAGTTTTTAATTAAAAAGAAGTCATTCTGGCCAGGTGCGGTGGCTCTCGCCTGTAATCCCAGCACTTTGGGAGGCCAAAGCAAGCAGATCACTTGAGGTCAGGGGTTCAAGACCAGCCTGGCCAACATGGTGAAACCCCGTCTCTACTAAAAATACAAAAATTAGCTGGGCATGGTGGTGCATGCCTGTAGTTCCAGCTACTCAAGGGGCTGAGACAGGAGAATCGCTTGACCCTGGGAGGTGAAGGTTGCTGTGAGCAAAGATTGCCCCATTGCACTCCAGCCTGGGCAACACAGTGAGACCCCATCTCAAAAAAAAAGAACTCATTTTGTTAATATCACTCATTTTAACCTGTTGCTGAGAGAGCGAGTACTAGGATGATATTTGTATTATGTTGGCATCAAACAAGTGCTTTTATTAATTTAATACTCCTTCAGATTAATTTATGTTATCAACTCTCAGTTTATAGTAGTCATTGATAGAAAAAAGAGAGCCCTCTACTTTACCTGAAAGCATATTTTAGTTTTTGGTGAGAGATTTCCTTAAATTCATTGCTATTTAAAAAGAAGACGGCTGGGTGCAGTGGCTCACGCCTATAATCCCAGCATTTTGGGAGGCCGAGGCAGGCACATCACCTGAGGTCAGGACTTTGAGACCAGCCTCACCAACATGGCAAAACCCCGTCTCTACTAAAACTATAAAAATTGGCTGGGTATGGTGGTGCATACCTGTAATCCCAGCTATTCGGGAGGCTGAGGCACAAGAAACACTTGAGCCCAGGAGGCAAAGATTGCAGTGAGAGCAGAGATCACACCACTGCATTCCGACCTGGGCAACTGGGCGACAGAGCAAGACTCTCAGATAACAAAACAAAACAAAACAAAAACCTCACGATCTAAATTTCAGCTTAGTAAGTAAATCAGGTCATCGTATAGTCACTTCGTTGGAAGTATGATTCAATAAAGAAAACTAAAGAATTAATATTGCTTGTATAAATATTTTCTTATCACCTTTCCTTCTGTTCTCATGTAATTTAGTGTTTTGTTTTTTTCTAGTTTATGTTATGATAGCAATTTTCTGCATAGCATCAGCAATGAGTCTGTACAACTGTCTTGCTGCACTAATTCATAAGATACCATACGGACAATGCACGTATGTATCTCTTACAGGAAATTTTATAATGTTGGTGTTTATAATTTAAAACAATACAAAATAGGAGTATTATTTGAAACCTATATAGTCTGATATACATTGGACCTATAGGTGTTTAAATTTAAATTTAAATAAAATTAAATAAAATTAAAAATTGAGTTTTTCATTCTTATTAGCCACATTTCAAGTGCTCAATAGCCACATGTGACTAGTAGCTACTATATTGGACAGCACAGATATAGTACATTTTCCTCATCACAGAAAATTATATTGGACTGATAAACATTTTATTATGTCTCATTTGTTTTATGTAAAATCAAGACTTTTAAAATTGGTATTTCAGCCGGGCGCGGTGGCTCAAGCCTGTAATCCCAGCACTTTGGGAGGCCGAGACGGGCGGATTACGAGGTCAGGAGATCGAGACCATCCTGGCGAACATGGTGAAACCCTGTCTCTACTAAAAAAATACAAAAAACTAGCCGGGCGAGGTGGCGGGCGCCTGTAGTCCCAGCTACTCGGGAGGCTGAGGCAGGAGAATAGCGTAAACCTGGGAGGCGGAGCTTGCAGTGAGCTGAGATCCGGCCACTGCACTCCAGCCTGGGCGACAGAGCAAGACTCCGTCTCAAAAAATAAAATAAATAAATAATAAATAAATAAATAAAATTGGTATTTCAGTCACTTCTTATGACTGTGGTTAACATTTGCTACTTCTTATATCAAGTGAACTTTATACTTCATCTGCAGTGTTAACTATTTCAATCTGTTTTTTAGGATTGCATGTCGTGGCAAAAGCATGGAAGTGAGACTTATTTTTCTCTCTGGACTGTGCATAGCAGTAGCTGTTGTTTGGGCTGTGTTTAGAAATGAAGACAGGTATGAATACTCAATGTATTTGCTTTTAGATTAAGGATGAATTGTTTCCTATGTTGGCCTGATACTTATTGTGATTATTATGGAACTTTTTTGCTTCTATGCCAGAACACCAGTCTTGTAATGAACTACTTCTTAAATAAGCAGATCTTATGTTCATGCATTTGAACTCATATAGAGAAGGAAATATGAATTATTATTTCAACACATACACTGAAATAGACTTTAAAAATATACTTAATTTCACGTCTGTAATCCCAGCACTTTGGGAGGCCAAGGCAGGCGGATCACCTGAGGTTGGGAGTTCGAGACCAGCCTGACCAAAATGGAGAAACCCCGTCTCTACTAAAAATACAAAAAATTAGCCGGGCGTGGTGGCGCACACCTGTAATCCCAGCTACTCGGGAGGCTGAGGCAGGAGAATTGCTTGAACCCGGGAGGCAGAGGTTGCAGTGAGCGGAGGTTGCAGTGAGCCAAGATCACACCATTGCACTCCAGCAACAAGAGTGAAACTCTATCTCAAAAAAATATATGTGTGTATGTGTGTATGTATATATATGTGTGCGTATATATATGCATGTGTGTATATTTTTATATATATATACACACACACTTAGTTTTGGTATAGCCACACAATAGAGTGCAATGCAGCTCTAAACAATGAAGCTCTCTATGAATTGATATGCAGGGAGTTCCAGGAGAGAGAGAAAGAGACAGAGAGAGAGAGTGTAGAAAGAATCAAAATGTCCATCAAACTTTGAATGGGTGAATACATTATGTTATATTTACACAATGGAATACTATTCACCAATAAGTAAGCCTTATACTACATGCACAAGCGTGAATGAATCTCAAACGTAATGCTAAGTGAAAGTAGATACAAAAGAGAACATACTTGCCGGGCATGGTGGCTCATGCCTGTAATCCCAGCACTTTGGGAGGGCGAGGTGGGCAGATCACTTGTGGTCAGGAGTTCGAGACTAGCCTGACCAACATGGAGAAACCCCGTCTCTACTAAAAATACAGAATTAGCCGGGTGTGGTGGTGTGTGCCTGTAATCCCAGCTATTCAGGAGGCTGAGACAAGAGAATCACTTGAACCCGAGAGGCAGAGGTTGCAGTGAGCCGAGATCATGCTATTGCATTCCAGCCTGGGGAACAAGAGTGCAACTCTGTCTCAAAAAAAAAAAAAAAAAAGAGAGAGAGAGAGGATATACTCTATGATATATAAAGTACAAAAAGGAGCACAAACTATATATATTTATGGGCTACATGTGATGTTTTGATACAGGCATACAATGTGTAATGATCACATCAGAGTCATTGTGGGATCCATCACCTCAAGCCTTTATCATTTCTTTGATTGGGAACATTCCAATTTCACTCTTTTAGTTATTTTTACAATATACAAGAAGTTATTAACTGTATCACCTAATTGTGCTACCAAAATCTTATTTATTTTATTTAACTATATTTTTGCACCCATTAACTATCTTCACTTTATCACCCCCACTCTCTACCTTTTTTTAGCCTCTGGTAACCATCATTCTACTATCTCCATGAGTTCAATTTTTTTATTTTCTTAATTTTAGCTCTCACTATGAGTGAGAACATGCAATATTTGTCTTTCTGTGCTTGGCTTATTTCACTTAACATGATGTCTTCCACTTTCATCCATGTCTTTACAAATGACAAGACTTCATTATTTTTTGTGGCTGAATAATATTCCATTGTGTGTATTTGTATAATTTTATATATATATATGTGTGTATAATATTTCCTCTATCCATTGATGGACACAGGTTGATTCCATATCCTGGCTATTGTGAATAGTGCTACAATAAATGTGAGAGTTCAGATACCTCTTTAATACTGAGTTCCTTTCTTTTGCATGTATATCCAGTGGTGGGATTGCTGGATCATATGGTAGTTCTGTTTTTAGTTTTCTGAGGAATTTCCATACTGTTCTTCATAGTGGCTGTGGTAATTTACATTCGCACCAACAGGGTACGAGGTTTCCCCTTTTCCCACATCCTTGCCAGCATTCTGGGGTGAGATGATATCTCGTAGTTTTGATTTACATTTCTCTAATTGCAGTCAGATTTCATCTGATTGGAGATGCTGAGCATTTTTTCATATATCTGTTGGTCATTTGTATGTCTTTGGAGAAATGTCTATTCAGATATTTTGTCCTATTTTTAATTGGATGATTTGGTTTTTTTTCTATCGAGTTGTTTGAGCTCCTTATATATTCTGGTTATTAATAGCTTGTCAGATGGGTAGTTTGCAGATATTTTCTTTCATTCTGTGGGTTGTCTCTTCACTTTCTTGATTTTTCCTTTGCCATGCAAAACCTTTTAGCTTGATGTGATTCCATTTGTCCATTTTTGTTTTTGTGGTCTGCGCTTTTGAAGTCTTACTCAAGAAATCTTTGCCAAGACCAATGTCCTGGAGCATTTCCCCAGTGTTTTCATCAAGTAGTTTCACAGTTTCAGGTCTTAGATGTAAGTCTTTAATCCACTTTGATTTGATATTTGTATTTCTTTAAGTGAAAAAAAGTGAAGTGCAAAAAAATATATAGAGTATGCTGTCTTTTATGCAAGAAAGAGGGGGATATAAGAAAATATACAGATATCTGTTCATTTGCAGGAAGATAACCAGAAGAAAATATATACTTAAGTTTATATTAATGTTTTATTAATAAAATTATTGAGGACTGAAAGGATTTAATGGCCTAAAATTTGGGAAACAAAGCTCATACAGCTTTATACAGCTTCAGGTAGGATAATTAATGGATAATTACTCATGTCAATTTCTGATGGAGTAAGTTGCATAACTTGTTTTCTTTATGTTCAAGCTATTTGGATCTGTGTTAACACTGAAATTCTTTTGTTAACAGCTGTTTTCTAGAACGAGACATGTGTTAATGCACTTATGTCTGATATATGTTCTTCTGAGGTAGCCTTTTCAACTTTTTCTTAGTATAATAATAATCATTATTCTACTGGGACAGTAAAATTACCAAATATGGAATATATGAGGGGTTTTGTTGTTATGCTTGCTGTTTAATAATTGAATAGTCAGAAATCAGCCAGGCATGGTGGCGTGCATGCCTGTAGTCCCAGCTACTTGGGAAGCTGAGACACGAAAATCGCTTGAACCCAGGAGGCAAAGGTTGCAGTGAGCCAGAATCACACTACTGCACTCCAGCCTGGGTGACAGCGTGAGACTCTGTCTCAAAAAAAAAAAAAAAAAAAGGAATAGTCAAATCATAGCAATTAAATGATATTACCTCAGTGATCTATGTCTTTTGAAAAGCTTCATCTAAACATTAATAAAGCAATAGAGTAATATCTTTTGATTTTAGGTGGGCTTGGATTTTACAGGATATCTTGGGGATTGCTTTCTGTCTGAATTTAATTAAAACACTGAAGTTGCCCAACTTCAAGGTAATGTATACAATACTACTTTGCTAGTTAAAATGAATTTTTAAAAGACAACTTTATTAAGGCATAATTTACCTACAATTAAATGCACCAATTTTTGGTGTACTGTTTATGGAAATTTTACGAATGTGTAACTTTGTAACCACTATGCCAGTGAAGTTGTAGAACATTTCTCATCTCTTCCAAAAGCTCTACCGTGGCCTTTGCAATCAGTCCTAATCCCCAGGCCCAGTCAACCACTGATTTGCTAGCTAAACTATTGTTGTTTTTTTTCTTTTGTTTCTTTTATTTGTATAAATTTAAGGGGTTCGAGTGTAGTTTTGTTACATGGATATATTGGGTAGTGATGAAATGTGGGCTTATAGTATAACCATCACTCGACTAATGTGCATTGTCCCCATTAAGTAATTTCTTATCCCTCACCCCTTCTAACCCTTCCACCATGCTGAGTATCCAGTGCCTGTTATTCCTCACTCTTATCCATGTGTATACTTTATTTTAGCTAAATTTTGTTTGTTTGTTTTTGTAGAGATGGGGGTCTTGCTATGCTACCCAAGCTGTTCTCAAACTGCTGTCTGCAAGCAGTCCTCCTGACTTGGCCTCCCAAAGTGCTGGGATTACAGGCATGAGCCACTGCACCTTGCCTAAAATATTTTTATTTATTTATTTGTTTGTTTGTTTGTTTTTGAGATAGAGTCTCGCTCAGTCTCCCAGGCTGGAGTGCAGTGGTGCAATCTTGGCTCACTGCAGCCTCTGCCTCCTGAGCTCAAGCGATTCTCCTGCCTCAGCCTCCCAAGTAGCTGGGGTTACAGGCGCCCACCACCAAGCCCTGCTAATTTTTATATTTTTAGTAGAGACAGGGTTTCACCCTGTTGGCCAGGCTGGTTTTGAACTGCTGACCTCAAATGATCTGCCCACCTGGGTCTCCCAAAGTGCTGGGATTACAGGCGTGAGCCACTGTGCCCAGCCTGCTTAAAATACTTTTAATCATTCATGTAATATGCCAAATTCATAAAATCTTTAACACGACTAAATATCAGAGAAGCACATTTCTTTTTTTTGTTTGTTTCTTTCCCCCCCCCCCCAAGACAGTCTCACTCTGTCGCCCAGGCTGGAGTGCAGTGGCACGATCTCAGCTCTCACTGCAACCTCTGCCTCCCAGGTTCAAGTGATTCTCCTGCCGCAGCCTCCTGAGTAGCTGGGGTTATAGGCACGCGCCACCACGCCTGGCTAATTTTCGTATTCTTTTTTTTTTTTTTTTTTTTGAGACGGAGTCTAGCTCTGTTGCCCAGGCTGGAGTGCAATGGCCGGATCTCAGCTCACTGCAAGCCCCGCCTTCCGGGTTCACGCCATTCTCCTGCCTCAGCCTCCCGAGTAGCTGGGAGTACAGGCGCCCGCCACCTCGCCCGGCTAATTTTTTTTGTATTTTAGTAGAGACGGGGTTTCACCGTGTTAGCCAGGATGGTCTCGATCTCCTGAACTCGTGATCCGCCCGTCTCGGCCTCCCAAAGTGCTGGGATTACAGGCTTGAGCCACCGCGCCCGGCCTAATTTTCGTATTCTTAGCAGAGACGGGGTTTCACCATGTTGGCCAGGCTGGTCTCGAACTCTTGACCTCGTGATCTGCCCCGCCTCAGCCTCCCAAAGTGCTGGGATTACAGGCGTGAGCCACCATGCCCAACCCAGCACATTTCTTTGGTTCGGTGATTTTTTTAAAAAACAAGATAAAGAAGATAAGCGTTTTAATATGTAGAATAATAAAACTATATATAGTATTAACTATAAGATATCTTTTTAAAAATAATATTTAAATGTATATTCATATCTTTATTTGGACTTGAAAAATAATTTAATGCCTTAATTTCTATTTAGGAAGATTGACCTTTAATTTTGTTTCTTTCTTCAACAGTCATGTGTGATACTTCTAGGCCTTCTCCTCCTCTATGATGTATTTTTTGTTTTCATAACACCATTCATCACAAAGGTATGACCATTTTTTAAATGCGTGAAGAAACATGCTAAAAAGTGATGATCTTAAATCTGCTCCTAGATTATTAATTTTTCAGATGTTTACCACTGAGTGAATTCTAATTCTCTTAAAAGAATTGTCATTGAAATTGGCCTTTTAACTTTCAAGGCTTTAATCCATTTTGTTAGATTTTTAAAATGTCTCTTGACTGATACAAATATGAGAATATCTGTAATTTTCTTCCCTTTTTAAAGTAATTCTTCTTATGAGCTAAATGTTTACTGTAGGCAACATAGACAGTAAAAAAAATAAAATATCATTTCTGAAGCCCTAGTTTGAGACTAAGAAAGAGCAGCACACTGGAAATCGGAAGGCCTAGAATGTAACTCTGTAACCTTGCAACCATAGGCAAGTTAGCCCTTTCTGCTTGCATTTACTAACCCGTTGTATGAGGGAGTATTGCTAGCTATTCATCTTTCCACCCCCATCAGTGGAATTCTTTTGGTTCCAACATAACAGAACCCAATCTAAGCCTTCTGTACCAAAAAGGCCCCATTTATCTAGGCTGTGTTTGCAGGCCAGTGTGGGGCTGGCGTCAAGAGAAATTAGACCCGGGGCCACATACTCTCCCTTTTTGCTTCTGTCCATTTGTTCATTCTCTCAGACTGGCTTCTTCCAAGAAGTTAGAATCAGAGCAACTGCAGCTGCTAGGTCATATATTCCCAGCTTTGCCACTAGCTCTTCAGTAAAATGAGGAGAGGTGTTGGGTGAGTATGGTGGTCCTTAATTATTTGTCCAGCTTTTCTACTTTGGTCCTTTTCCTGTCTCATGAATATATTAATTATTGCTTAATTCCCCAACTTTCTCCCATTTTGAGTCTTGCTTTGTAACTTTATATTATCCATTTATCCTTTGTCACTCTCACATATTTAAGTATTTGATATTCTCTACTTCTCATTCCTTCTTTTTTTTTTTTTTTTTTTTTTTTTTAAGGCCAAGTCTTGAGACTGAAGTGCAATGGCACAATCCTAGTTCACTGCAGCCTCAAACTCCTGGACTCAAGCCCAGGAGTCCTCACACCTTGGCCTCCCAGAGTATTGGGATTACAGGCATGAGCCATAGCTTGTGGCCTCATTCCTTCTTTACCCATTCATTAAACCTACCATCTGTGAAATCACTGTAAAAATCTACACTTCTGATATTTGCTATAATAACATAAAGATAAACTGACCCTATTGGGGAGCTAAAATTATAATAGGTAACAAATATAGTTAACTGCCCCAAAATACAGCTAACCATCAAAACTTTTTTTTTTCTCTTCTTTGAGACAGGGTCTTGGTCTGCCGCCCAAGCTGGAGTGCAGTGGCTCAATTACGAGTTACTGCAGCCTTAACATCCTGAGGCCCAGGTGATCCTCCCACCTCAGCTTCCCAAATAGCTGGTACTACAGGGACATGCCATTACACCCAGCCAATTTTTGTATTTTTTGTAGAGATGGGGTTTTACCATATTGTCCAGGCTGGTCTGGTTCAGGAGATCTTCCTGTCTCAGCCTCCCAAAGTGCTGGGATTTACAGGGATGAACCATTTTGGTTATGCCTGGCATAACCAAACCATTTTACTAGCACCTTTCTGTCCCTTAATTATGAGCCATTTGATTCATTGACTTCACCAAACAATAGTAATCTAAAAAAAATTCATAGAACTAGTATTATGGGTTATAACTAAACTTACTAATTTGGCCATGTGCGGTGGCTAATGCCTATAATCCCAACACTTTGGGAGGCCAACGCAGGCAGATCACTTGAGGTCAGGAGTTCGAGACCAGCCTGGCCAACATGGTGAACCTGTATCTCTACTAAAAATAGCAATAATTAAGAGACCAGAGGCAGGGCAAGGTGGCTCACGCCTGTAATCCCAGCACTTTGGGAGGCCAAGGCGGGTGGATCACTTGAGGTCAGGAGTTTGAGACCAGCCTAGCCAACATAGTGAAACCCTGTCTCTACTAAAAATACAAAAATGCCAGGCACAGTGGTGGGTGCCTGTAATCCCAGCTACTTGGGGGGCTGAGGCAGGAGAATCACTTGAATCCAGGAAGCAGAGGTTGCAGTGAGCTGAGATTGCACCACTGCACTCCAGCCTGGGTGACAGAGGGAGACTCTGTCTCAAAAAAAAAAAAAAAAAAAATATATATATATATATATAAAATAATTAGCCAGATGTGGTAGTGCACGCCTGTAGTCCCAGCTACTCAGGAGACTGAGGTGGGAGGATCGCTTGAAGCCAGGAGGCGGAGGTTATAGTAAGCCTAGATTGTGCCACTGCACTCCAGCCTGGGCAACAGAGTGAGACTCCGTTTCAAAAAATAAAATTGTTAGCCAGGCGCAGTGGCTCATGCCCATAATCCCAGCACTTTGGGAAGCTGAGGTGGGCGAATCACGAGGTCAGGAGATTGAGACCATCCTGGCTAATACGGTGAAATCCCATCTCTACTAAAAAAATACAAAAAAAATTAGCTGGGTGTGGTGGCAGGCATCTATAGTCCCAGCTACTTGGGAGGCTGAGGCAGGAGAATGGTGTGAACTCAGGAGGCGGAGCTTGCAGTGAGCCGAGATCACGCCACTGCATTCCAGCCTGGGTGACAGAGGGAGACTCTGTCTCAAACAAAAATACAAAAAATTTGCCAGGCATGGTGGTGGATACCTGTAGTCACAGCTACTTGGGAGGCTGAGGCAGGTGAATGGTGTGAACCCGGGAGGCGGAGCTTGCAGTGAGCTGAGATCATGCCACTGCACTCCAGCCTGGGCGACAGAGTGAGACTCCGTCTCAAAAAAAAAAAAAGAAATTTTTCGTCTTCCTATCTCTCTCTTAGTTTCTACTGACTAGGAACATGATTTCTTTTTTTTTTTTTTTTTTTTTTTTTTTTTTGTTGTTGAGACAGAGTCTCGCTTTGTCGCCCAGACTGGAGTGCAGTGGCCGGATCTCAGCTCACTGCAAGCTCCGCCTCCCGGGTTCACGCTATTCTCCTGCCTCAGCCTCCCCAGTAGCTGGGACTACAGGCGTCCGCCACCTCGCCCGGCTAGTTTTTGTATTTTTTAGTAGAGACGGGGTTTCACCGTGTTAGCCAGGATGATCTCGATCTCCTGATCTTGTGATCCGCCCGTCTCGGCCTCCCAAAGTGCTGGGATTACAGGCTTGAGCCACCGCGCCCGGCCTGGAACATGATTTCTAGCAACCTAATATGGTGGAAAAAACTCAGTGCTCACTCTTTGGAGTTCACTGCTATAGATTTACTTTAATACCTTATTCTCAGTCTGATTTGTTTGTTTTTATTAAGGCAGCAGACCTTACTTTAGTAGGTAACTCAAAAATCAGTTGCTGATTTTCCTGATTTTCACTGTAAATTTGAAGGGTTAACTATTGCATATTCTAAACATGTTCTTGACCCAAGTGTTAGTGGCCTTCTAGTGAGTTGGCAAGGGAGGTCGCCATAAAAGTACAGCAATAAGAGCCTGTCTTACTCATTTTTCTCCATCCACCACTGTGCTCAATATTGTGTCTTACAAATAGTAGTTATTCAGGTATCTTTAAATGTATGGGAGGATATCAATGATGGTCTTCAGTTAAATGTTTTACATAACAATTAGAAAGTGAACCAAAATGAACTCTTTATCTGGAAATGTTATCACAACCTAGGAATCTGCTTTAAGGAACTGTACTTAGTGTTCGTTTATTTTCCTAAACTGCTTTGACTTAACCCTTCTGTAACCCAAAGCTTAACATGAGCAAAAGATTTCTGCAGCTAGGGGTTTTATCCTCCTTTCTACTCAGCTCGGGAATCAATGAGGTCCTTTTAAAAACACTCAAGTGGTTTCTCCTGTGCACCCCACCCACATGGAAAATATTATAGTTAGTCAATCAAATTTTCCTGAAATTCAGCGTTTGTTTATCTTCCCTGTACCTGCTTTGCTGATATATTTATCATAATACGAAACAAAATGAGTGGTTCATGCAATCTTAACTTTCCCTCTCCACAACAGACTTGGCTATCAGGAAAAAGTTTTTAAATGAACCCCTCACACAGCCCACATAAAAAGACTTTATCCAGGCACAAGGGAGGGAAATTTAGCTAAGGTTAATGTTTTGATTGGATCATAGAAAGCAGGCAGGGCTGAAATTGGATGAGAGTTAGGCTAGAGAAGCTTCTCAGGTTCTATAGGGTTGGGTCTTTTCAAATTTGGTTTCATTGTTTTGTTATTGTGGTGAGTAGCCAGAAGGTCAGATGTATATTTATTCAAATAAAGTTACCAATATTTTTTACAAAGCTAAGTGTAAAAGATTTTAATATGACCTTCTTCTTTGACATTGCTGAAAACTACTAAGAACATACAGTATATGGCATAATGTAACTAAAAGTACTGTACCTAAAATTTATAACCCATTACAAATGTCAGATATTAATGTCATTACAGATCAGAACTGAGGGTTCACTTGAATTATTTTTACGTGATTCATTTGCCAATGTCTGAGAATTGTTGAGCTCTGATAAAGTGGAGCAACTGTACTAGGTAGACTTTTGTTTTAGATGACTTCAGTTTTTGCTGTCTACAAAGACTTTTAGGAAAACAGCAGTCTGTAGCCCATTTTTAGTGTAACTGGCCATATGCCATGGGGCTTAAATCACACTTGAATAGTGGCAGATTGTTTTCTTTAAATGATTAGACAACTTCTTTTCTCTTCCTTCTCAATTTTAGAATGGTGAGAGTATCATGGTTGAACTTGCAGCTGGACCTTTTGGAAATAATGAAAAGGTAGGGATGGCAATGAAATAGAAATGGCTGTCCAGTGTATGTATGTGTATCCAGTTAATAATTTGCTTTCCTGTGTAATTCACTGGTCACGTAGTGCATGTTAAGGTATTGTAAAACTTATTTCTCAGAAAATATAGCTCTTTTCTTAGTTATTCTAAATTATTAAATACCTATTGACTTGGGTTTCATCCTAGAATGATGGAAACTTGGTGGAAGCCACTGGTCAACCCTCAGCTCCCCATGAGAAAGTAAGGATTGTATTTCAGATATGTTCATTGGACTTTAAATCATACCCTCTGAGGCAAGAGTCTTCTTTGGGGGAAAAAAATCCAGATAGCCAAAAAAAAAATAAGGCTTGTTCTATTTTCTGTGTGTCAAGGCCTGAGTTCTATTCTTGGTAAAGAGAAAAAAAAAAGGTTAAATGTGGGGATAGTTGATTAATACTGTTAATCCTACGTGTGTGTTGAGCTTCATTTTTTCAAAACTAATCTATTTCTTTCGGAAATAGATAGAAACAGAGTATTTCATGTTCCTTTAAACTATCAAAAGAACTATTCTAATGTTAATCATTCCCTTTCTAGAAGATATGGGTGGCCAGGCACGGTGGCTTATGCCTGTAATCCCAGCACTTTAGGAGACTGAGGCAGGTGGATCACCTGAGGTCAGGAGTTTGAGACCAACCTGGCCAACATGGTGAAACCCTGTCTCTACTAAAAACAGAAAAAGTAGCCGGGCATGGTGGCTCATGCCTGTAATCCCAGCTACTTGGGAGGCTGAGGCAGGAAAATCACTTGAGCCCAGGAGGCGGAGGTTGCAGTTTGCAGTTGCAGTGAACTGAGATCGTGCCACTGCACTCCACCTGGGCAACAGAGCAAGACTCTGTCTCCAAAAAATAAATAAATAAATAAAAGATATGGGTAAAGATTGCCAAGAAGTTCATTGGTGGCCTCTTTTTTGTTTTGTTTTGTTTTATTTTGTTTTGTTTTTGAACAGTTGCCAGTAGTCATCAGAGTACCAAAACTGATCTATTTATCAGTAATGAGTGTGTGCCTCATGCCTGTTTCAATATTGGGTTTTGGAGACATTATTGTACCAGGTAAGCAATTGTAACAATTTTAGTAAAAAAAAGTACTGATGATTTTAAATCGTCATGTGTATAGAATCTGTTAAAAGTTACCTGCTCTGTATTAACTATTTCTGTCTGTCACTAGAGCTGAGATTGTCATAACAAAAAAGCTTATTGAGGGTAGAAGGTAAAGCCCAGCTGGTAACAACTAAAGTACTGTAATAACTCCCATGGCTCAAAAAGTTTGTTAAGGAAGCAACTAGGATCAGTTTAACCTTCTTCAGGAAAGTATATTTGTGACCCTTTTTAGAAGTTGAATATAATAATGCCAAACAAATAGTTTATATTACTTATATTTTAAGATAATGGTTATGTTTTAGAAAAAGTAATTTAAGAATATTAGGCAAGGCTGTGATCAAGAGGAGAAACAGAAGAACACCATCTTGTAGGACTGCACAATACAAAAAGACACAGTTTATAGTGGAATTGATCACTGTCTCTTAGCATGTCTGCTCTGACAGTAGTTCTGCCTTATTTTCCTCACTGCACTGTCTGTAGAATAAACTTAATCCAAGTCCAGTAATAATTTAGTTTAGAAATAATTGATAATATTCCTCTATCAACTGAGTTTTTCCTCCTTCATTTTTCTTACAGTCTCCCTATGTCCTAACTGCCTGTGGTGCATGGGTGAGGAGTACTAGTGCTTCTGAAAAAGCCCTTCTATTTATATAGCAAAACCAGGTAGAGAGAGAAAAACTAGCAGTGTTGCCTTGCAAGTTGACATGGCAAAGTCCAGTGTAGCAGCTCTCTTAGCTCAGTGAATCTCAAGTCACATAATTGATAAAATAAGGAAAACATTCTATTGAGTAACCTTACACTTCTTTGAATATCATTAAACTTATACCTGATTGTACCATTTCCCTACCAAGGGCTATACAAGATCTTCTATATAGAACTTGGCATAGAACTGGTAAAAATAGTATATAAATACTACGTTATTGAAGTAAATGTCAAAGATCTAAAACAAAAACATTTCTCTAAAGAGCAGAGGTACTGACAATACATGACTTAATCCTAAAAGCTAAATTTGAATTTAGGGAGGGAAAAAGTACTATTTTTTTAAAAAACGTGGAAATGTGATTAAACAGCAAAAACAACAAGGGACTTATTTTATTAATTTTGTAGAGACCAAAACTAATTAATTCAAATAACTAATGAAGATAGTAAAATTAATTTATGATTTTTGAAGTAAATGTCATTCTTTCTGTTTTTATAACATTATAAATAAATACAAGCTGAGATTTCTTCTTTGGGAAGAAGAAAATGTTCAACAAATTTCTTACAAGAAATAGATATTAAATGAGTTGTTTCTGCATAATTGCATGTTTACAAATGAAGGCATGAGCCGAGCGTGGTGGCTCATGCCTGTAATCCCAGCCCTTTGGGAGGCTGAGGCAGGTGGATCACTTGAGGTCAGGAGTTCAAGACCAGCCTGGCCAACGTGGTGAAACCCCATCTGTACTAAAAATACAAAAATTAGCCATGTGTGTTGGCACACGCCCATAATCCCAGCTACTTGAGAGGCTGAGACAGGAGAATCACCTGAACCCAGGAGGCGGAGGTTGCAGTGAGCTGAGATCACACCACTGCACTCCAGCCTGGGTGACAGAGTGAAAAAAGGAAAAACACAACTGAATAGCATTCCAGTCTGTGTATGTACCACATTTGCTTTATTCATCTGTTACGGACACTTAGGTTGCTTCCATTTTTTGGCTAGTGTGAATAATGCTGCGGTGAATATGGGAATGCAAATATCTCTTTGACATACTGATTTCAGTTCCTTTGGATGTATACCCAGTAGTGGGATTATTAGACCATATGGTAGTTCTAGTTTTAATTTTCTAAAGAACCACCATACTGGTTTCCATAATGGCTACCCTCATTTACATTCCCATCAACAACGAACAAGGGTTCCCTTTTTGCTCCATCCTGAGGCTTACTTTTCATCTTTTTGATAATAGCCATTCTAACATATGTAAGGTGATATCTCATTGTGGTTTTAATTTGCATTTTTCTGATGATTAGTGATTTTAAGCAATTTTTAAATATACCTGTTGTCTATTTATGTGACTTCTATGGAGAATTAGCTATTCAAATCCTTTGCCCATTTTCTAATTGGGTTGTTTACTTATTCTTGAGTTGTTTGAGTTCCTTATATTAATATATTTTAGATATTAACCCCTTATCAGATATATAGTTTGCAAATATTTTCTCCCATTTCATAGGTGTTTTCTTCACTTTGTTGACTGTTTCTTTGGCTGTGCAGAAGCTTTTTAGTTTGATGTAAACCCATTTGTCTATTCGATACATTTTTAATGATAAATTTAAGAAGTTTTCTTCATGGCTGGGCTTGGTGGCTCATGCCTGTAATTCCAGCCCTTTGGGAGGCCAAGGCTGTGGATCACAAGGTCAGGAGATCAAGACCACCCTGGCCAACAGGATGAAACCCCGTCTCTACTAAAATACAAAAAATTAGCCAAGTGTGGTGGTGGGCGCCTGTAGTCCCAGCTACTCAGGAGGCTGAGGCAGGGAACTCGCTTGAACCTGGAAGACGGAGGTTGCAGTGAGCTGAGATCACGCCACTGCAGTCCAGCCTGGGCAACAGAGCGAGACTCTGTTTCAAAAAGAAAAAAGTTTTCTTCATGACATGGAATATTGAGCAGCTAATAAAAATGATAGTTAAAAACTAGCAGCTTCAGGAAATATTTAAAATATGGTATTAAGTATTTTAAAAATCAGCATATAAAACTTTATCCAGAATTTGAGCTACTTGAATGTTCTCATAATGCAACAATGAAGATTCAATACAACATATACTGTTACTATTGTTAACGGTTGAATTTGCATTGCTCTTATTGTTTTAAGAAAATAACGTGTGTTTTTTTTTTTTTTTTTTTAAGGCCTGTTGATTGCATACTGTAGAAGATTTGATGTTCAGACTGGTTCTTCTTATATATACTATGTTTCATCTACTGTTGGTAAATTTTTGTTTTTTCTTTGTATTAAATGTTGAATTGTATTGTCTGGAGGAAAAGACAGAGGTCTAAAAATAAAGAAGGACTACAATTTGGGCATGTTAGTTCACCCCTGCAGTCCTAGCAAGGCAGGCAGATTGCTTGAGCCCAGGAGTTCTAGACAAGCCTGGGCAGCATAGTGAGACCCCATCTCTATAAAAACTATTTTAGGGCCGGGCACCGTGGCTCACGCCTGTAAGTCCAGCATTTTGGGAGGCCAATGCAGGCAGATCATGAGGGCAAGAGACTGAGACCATCCTGGCCAATGTGATGAAACCCCATCTCTACTAAAAATACAAAAAAAAAATCAGCTGGACATGGTGGCGTGCACCTGTAGTCCCAGCTACTGGGGAGGCTGAGGCAGAAGGATCGCTTGAACCTGGGAGGCAGATGTTGCCGTGAGCCGAGATCATGCCACTGCACTCCAGCCTGGCGACAGAGCAAGACTGTCTCCAAAAAGTCTGGATGTGGTGGTCCCAGCTACTCAGGAGGCTGAGATGGGAGAAATGCTTAAGCCCAAGAGGTCAAGGCTGCAGTAAGCCATCATCATACCACTTCACTATAGCCTGGGCGAAAGATTGAGTCCCTGTCTCAAAAAAAAAAAAAAAAAGAAAGAGAAAGAAAAGAAAATAGCTAAGTGAGGGAGAAGATGAAGAAAAAAATATAAAGAAATTCAAAAAGTAGTCTCAGCCCGGTGCAGTGGCTGGCCAGATGCAGTGGCTCATGCCTGTAATCCCAGCACTTTGGGAGGTCAAGGCAGGTGGATCACTTGAGGTCAGGAGTTTGAGACCAGCCTGGCCAACATGGTGAAATCTCATCTCTACTAAAAATACAAAAACTAGCTGGGCATGGTGGCGCATGCCTGTATTCCCAGCTACTTGGGAGGCTGAGGCAAGAAAATTGCTTGAACCCGGGAAGTGGGTTCAAGAGACAAGATCGCACCACTGCACTCCAGCCTGGGCAACTGAGCGAGGCTCCATCTCAAAAAAAGCAGTTTGAGGCCACTAAGTATGGTACTGTCCAGGGCTTTAACATATTAGTATCCAAAGGCAGATTATAGGAGTGTTCATTAATTCTCCTGTGTACCCTTGGACAGCTCACTTAAATTCCCTGTTCCTCCATTGCCTCATCTTTAATATTAGGAACTATACTAAATTGTTTATAAAGGAATATTCTGAGATCCTATGTTCCTAGTAAAACCCTGAGTCATTAAGGAAAGTTCAGACCGGGCATGGTGGCTCACATCTGTAATCCCAGCAGTTTGGGAGGCTGAAGCGGGTGGATCAGCTGAGGTTGGAAGTTCGAGACCAGCTTGACGAACATGGAGAAATCCCGTGTCTACTAAAAAATACAAAATTAGCCAGGTGTGGTGGTGCATGCCTATAATCCCAGCTACTCGGGATGTTGAGGCAGGAGAATCGCTTGAACCCAAGAGGTGGAGGTTGCGGTGAGCTGAGATTGTGCTAGCGCACTCCAGCCTGGGCAACAAGAGCGAAACTCTGTTTCAGAAAAAAAAAAAAAGAAAAGTTCAAAAGTATGTGCTTAGTAACAAGGCTTAGGAAGTATGTAATCAGTGTTAGGAAGATTTTTTAAAACAACCTATAGTACCTATTGGTACAGATTTTGTTATCTAAAATAATGAAACCATTTAACAACTTTAATAGCAACAGATAATTGAAACTCTCATGAAGTATTATCTCTGTCAATGATACATGGTTAGGTTAGTAATAATTGAAATGCTAACCACTTTCCAGATTTTTCAAAAGCTCCGTAGAAGATGTCTCCTAATCCTATCTAGGAAAATGATGAAATTACAAGAAGTCATAGAGCAAAAATGTCTTCAGAAATATTTGAAAACCAATACTTAAATGAGAGAAGAACAAACCCACCTTTGGTAACCTGTAGAAATGACTGATGGCTTGGTATTCTTCTTGCAGCCTATGCTATTGGCATGATACTTACATTTGTTGTTCTGGTGCTGATGAAAAAGGGGCAACCTGCTCTCCTCTATTTAGTACCTTGCACACTCATTACTGCCTCAATTGTTGCCTGGAGACGTAAGGAAATGAAAAAGTTCTGGAAAGGTAACAGCTATCAGGTATGTGCTTATACTTTGATTACCATGTTATCTTATGACTTAATTTACTTACTGATTTTGGGTGGGAACAGCCTATATATAGCAACACTTTTATGTACCAAAAAGTACCGTAATACCCCCTTACTCACTGTCCACCTGCTGCATCATCATTTGTCACCTCCCCTGCAACCTAATGCCAAAAGCCTGGTGATTCAAGACAAAACTACAAAAGAACAGCGGAGGACATCAGGGAAAACAAAAGAGCATTTCAACATGTATTTTCAAAACCTACACAAAAGCAGACTTCATGAAAGATAAAATTGTATGTTTAAAATAAGTACTTAATTTTGAGACTAAGCATTAGCTATTTATATTAAGAGTCCTAAGGTTTTGCACATAAAAAGTGTACTCTGGCCAGGCATGTTGGCTCACGCCTATAATCCCAGCACTTTGGGAGGCCGAGGCAGGTGGATCACCTGAGGTCAGGAGTTTGAGACCAGCCTGGCCAACATGGTGAAACCTCATCTCTACTAAAAATACAAAAATTAGCCAGGCGTGGTGGCAGGCACCTGTAGTCCTAGCTACTTGGGAAGCTGAGGCAGGAGAATCGCTTGAACCTGGGAGGCGGAGGTTGCAGTGAGCCAAGATCGCTCCAGCCTGGGCAACAAGAGCAAAACTCCATCTCAAAAAAAGTGTACTCTTCAGCATCTAAATGGGCCTAACCAAACTAGATGGGGCACTCATTTGAGATTTAAATGAATCAAGGTTGACCTTTCTTTAAAATGTCTAAACAAAGAAAATCTTGATACCAGAGTCTCTTTTGCTTGAGTCGTTTCTTCATTGAAGTTAAACCCTTTTCTTTTTTATTTCCCTAAATGTTCTTAGTATTCCAGTAAAGTCTGTTTGCATTGAAATTAAGAAGAGTTGGGAAACTCTAGCCTATTGAGGTCAGGGCCATGGCATTGACCCCTTCATGAAGGCACTTTGTGAGGCAGTTAGCTCTGCTTTGCCCTATTACAACTACTACCCTCCTCCATCCACCCTCATGCTTCTGTGTCAGGGGTCACGTGAACAAAAACAGAGACAGTTTGGGTGGGTGGCTGCAATTCTGATAGTAGATAAACAGTTCAAAGTTCATGTCCATCTTGTGCTTGGTCTTTTGTGTCATTTATAGTGTTATTTAATGAGAGGTGGTTAACACATTAAGTTACAGAGTACTATGATTTGAAAAAACACTGGTTTAGAATTCTTTTCAGGAAATCTTAAAATTTCTTTGAGAGTTGGTTAAGCTAATAATACCTGTCTTGCCTACATCACAAAGCTATTGTCTCAACTTACACTATTATACGTAGAATTAATTTATGATCCTAATGCCCTTGACTAAACTAGTAAGGTAACTTTTAACTTTTCCACTGAAGATGACACTCACACAGGTTTTTTATTTTTAAAGATTTTTAAAAATAAAAGTGTATCCTATGATATACACTATACTAATAAACTCTAAAAATCACATCTCAAAAAGTACTCTACATCATTTTTTAATTGTTTTATATTTCTTCATTTAGCAAATGTTTATGAGTGATTCTATGAGAGTGTACTATTTTTGGTATTGGTGATACAAGATGATCAAGTTAGAAAGAGGCCTATTCTCATGACCTCTTGAAAGTTACAGTCTAGTGGGGAATAGAGATAAAGTCACTAACAATAAAGTATGATAAACATATTAGTTAACAGCAGGTGCCGTGAAAACTATAGATGGGATATCCAGTGCTTGTGGTTTCAGGAAAGAGTCCTAGGTGATTTGGGAAAGGCTTTCTGAAGAATATTAAATTTATGTCCAGACTTGAAGACTGAGCTGTGTGTTCCATGTTGAAGGAACCATGTCTTCTGAGGCTCAGAGGGAAGAGAACATAGCACATTCTAGGAACTCAGTGAAGGTTAGGATGGCTATAATACTGAGTAAGGGTTAGGGGAGCTACAGGAAATGACAACTGGAGAAGAAAGCAAGAGTGAGAGCCTTGTAGCATCTTATAAGCCACATTTAAGAGTTTGAACTCTATACTAAGCACTGGAGACCATTTAAGGTTTTAAAAAATCTAGAAAATTAAGGGAGCAAAACTGGGGACAATTATTGCAATAAGAAGTGATAGAAGGCCAGACATGGTTGTTTATACTGATAATTGCAGCACTTTGGGAGGCCAAGCCAGGAGGATCACTTGACCCCAGGAATTTGAGACCAGCCTGGGCAACATGCGAGACCCCGTCTCTACAAAAAAGAAAAAAATTGCTGGGCATGGTGGCACATGCCTTTGGTCCTAGCTACTTGGGAGCCTGAGGTGGGAAGATTGCTTGAGCCCGGAAGATAGGGGCTTCAGTGGGCCATGATTGCACCAGTGCACTCAGCCTGGGCAACAGAGTGAGCAAGACCCTGTCTCAAAACAAAAACACAAGCAAAAAAGAAGTGATAGAACCCTGAATTAGCGAAGTAATGAGATGGAAAGACTTGAACAAAGTTAAGAGAAATTAGACGCATAATAGGGCCTGATGATAGAGTCAGTATGGGCAGAGGAAAAGAAGTAGAGTCCAGGGCTTCTGGATTGGGAAACTAGGGGGATGGTGATGAAGAAAAGGCAACAGGGTTGAGGAAGATGATGATGAATTCAGTCTTGAACATTTCAAAAGTACCTATTGGATCACCACAAAGAGAGAAATAATAGGCAGTTGAATAAATAGGTCTGGTGTGCAGGAGACAGACCTGGCTAGAGATAGATACTCGGGAGTGCCATTAGCATACAGAATAGTGAGAATGTAGAGGCAGAAGAAAAGACTCAGGACAGGCCTGTGAGCAAGAGATTTCTACTATTAGGGGTACTCATCTGATTAACTGTAAATCAGGACAAAGACAAGCAACATCAGGAAATATTGTTCTGAGTTGACATTAAATCTTTGTTTAATTTAGAATTGAAATTTAGAGGCTGGGCGCGGTGGCTCACGCCTGTAATCCCAGCACTTTGGGAGGCCGAGGCGGGCGGATCACAAGGTCAGGAGATCGAGACCACGGTGAAACCCCGTCTCTACTAAAAATTACAAAAAATTAGCCGGGCGCGGTTGTGGGCGCCTGTAGTCCCAGCTACTCGGGAGGCTAAGGCAGGAGAATGGCGTGAACCCGGGAGGCGGAGCTTGCAGTGAGCCGAGATCGCGCCACTGCACTCCAGCCTGGGCTGGGCGACAGAGCGAGACTCCATCTCAAAAAAAAAAAAAAAAAAATTTAGAATTGTTAGAGCACATGTGCTGTCTTACAGAATTATTTATGTTTCTTGTTATTTTCATTATCAGAATTTGTTTTTATTTATAAAAAAAGTCCTTTCCCTTTAATACAGCTTTTAAAGTATTTTATTATTAAAAATATATGCTTATAGGCTGAGCGCAGTGGCTCACGCCTATAATCCCAGAACTTTGGGAGGCCAAGGCGGGCAGATCACCCGGGGTCAGGAGTTTGAGACCAGCCTGGCCAACATGGCAAAACCTCATCTCTACTAAAAATACAAAAATTAGCTGGGTGTGGTGGCGCATGCCTGTAATCCCAGCTACTTGGGAGGCTAAGGCAGAAGAAGCGCTTAAACCTGGGAGGTGGAGGTTGTAGTGAGCTGAGATTGCGCCATTGCACTCCAGCCTGAGTGACAGAGCAAGACTCCATCTCAAAAATAAATCGATAAATAAAAATAAAATATGTGATTATAGAAAATTTGGAAAATATTTTTTTTAAATACAGGAGGAAAATTAAGTCCACCCATAATCCTACCACCTGGAGATAGCTAAGGTTTAAGTGAATTTCCTTCTGTGCCTTCTCTGAATAAATGGATAGATGAGTGAATGATACTATAAATAGTTCTCTTTCTTTTTCACTGCATTTTATATTTTATTTTAAATTCCTTATAAAATTATTTTAATGGCTGTATAATATTCCCTTCATATGCCTATATCATACTTTATTATTTACTTTAAGGTAAATAAATAAGGTATTTTCAGAAAATGATTAAAAATGTGGGCAAAAATGATGTGAAAAGATGTTCATTATAGTAATTCTAGTCTTCTTTGTTCTATTTCAATGTCTTGTAATATTACAGGTAGTTAATTTACTAAAATTTTTACATAGACCTTCACTGTTTTCATTTTAGTAATTTTTCTTTTTTCTATCTCAATTACAAAGTAATGCGTATTTGCGTTTTTAAAATAAGCAACGTGAAAGTGTCTAAAGTAAAAATGGAAGTCCTTTTTCTTTTTTTTTTTTTTTTTTTTTGAGACGGAGTCTTGCTCTGTCGCCCAGGCTGGAGTGCAGTGGCCAGATCTCAGCTCACTGCAAGCTTCGCCTCCCGGGTTCACGCCATTCTCCTGCCTCAGCCTCCCGAGTAGCTGGGACTACAGGCGCCCGCCACCTCGCCTGGCTAGTTTTTTGTATTTTTTTAGTAGAGACGGGGTTTCACTGTGTTAGCCAGGATGGTCTCGATCTCCTGACCTCGTGATCCACCCATCTCGGCCTCCCAAAGTGCTGGGATTACAGGCTTGAGCCACCTTGCCCAGCCGCAATGCCTTTATAAATTATTTCCCTTTAAAAAGAAAATCTTTCATTGTTTATGACCAATATTTAAAATCAAAATTAGCTTACCTTGAATGTTGTCATTTGTGGGAGACAGTGTATTGTGGCCTTTGACATCAGTTCTGACTAATAACTTAATCTCTGAAGACTGTCTCCTCATCCATAAAATGAGATTGGATCTATAGGGAGGTAGGGGAATAAGAAATCCATAGTGGGGCCGGGCGTGATGGCTCACGCCTGTAATCCCAGCACTTTGGGAGGCCAAGGCAGGCAGATCACGAGGGCAGGAGTTTGAGACAGCCTCACCAACATGGTGAAACACCTGTCTCTACTAAAAATACAAAAATTAGACAGGTGTGGTGGCGGGCGCCTGTAATCCCAGCTATTCGGGAGGCTGAGGCAGGAGAATTGCTTGAACCTGGGA